CGAAATTTCCATTTTCTTATAAAACTTCTTTTAAAATACTATGCAAACAAAACTAGTTGGCTTGGGTACAAACTGTGAATTGAATTATAAGTTAAAAACGTCTAATTTTACGGATATGATAATAGCAGAACGTTGGCGCCACTGGAAGTACTAGATTGCAGAAACTTTTCCAGCAGCCTACGTATTTAATTTTTCTTAAAACCATTTGAATTCAAATCATCTTAATTCAAATAATTTTACTTACAAGTTACTTTAATGTTAATTATATTATATTAGAAATTAAATTTATTTATTTATTTTTTAACATGTATAGAAATAAACACTTATACTTTTGAGTCTAATAGTATCACATACATTTCAAAGTCTAAAAGTAGTCTATCACATGTCTATAAAAAAAAACTTAAAACTTTAGTGATCTAGCTTGCAATACAATACAGCAGTGTCCGCAAAGATTTGCACATTTCGGGCCAATTTCGGCGCGTTACCCCCACTATCGCTCGAGACTCGGCGACCGAGCCGCCGGGCGCTCATGTGACACTCTGACTCAGGAGCGTCTCTGTAGCTTAAACGTGTGGAGATCGTATCTTATGTTATTAAAGAATATTTTTTATAATTGCTTTAAAAAAAATTATTATTAGCAATTTTAAAAAATAAAAAAAATAAAATAAAATATAAGATTAACTTTATCAAAATGATTATTTTTTAGTACATGGTAAATTTGCAAATGAATTCGCAATATTTTCTAAAATTTTTAAAGCTGCATCTTATCGAGCCATTAATTCATTATGACGTTTTTCTTTTATAACCTCCTTTTCTTTAAAATTTTATTCTTAGTACTTGTTCTATGTACTTAGTTGTTTTGTAAATTCACTTCTTTTTCTTATTTTCGACTTTTCATTCTATTTTTTGCAATCTTTTCATCGTTACCGGATGAATTTTCTTCAATTTTAACCGGCGTCTTGGAAGCATTGAATTCTTCGTGAAAAAGACGCAGTTGACACTGGCTGCACATTAGGATTTTGACCAAATATTTCATCCATTTCAAAGAAGTAATTGAATTTAATCGTACCTGTTCTTTTGAACCATGTTATTTTTCTTTTTCATATACTTTTGTTTTATATATTAGGTGTACAAAAAAGTTCTGAGCTTTTTTTTGTAAAATTCAATCTTTATTTAAAAACAAACGAAAAAATATTAATCAGCGAAATATTATAAGCTGTTCTGCAAGCTCCTTTTCAGTTTGCGCAGAGTTTATATCCAGCAGTGCTTGCAATTCGTCCGTTTCAATCTTTTCAGGGCGTCCAGCACGCGATTCATCTTTAAGACTGAAATCTCCTTGGCGAAACTTTTGATACCACCTTTTGCATGTTGCATGACTTACAGCGTTCTCTCCATATGCAGCACAAATCATTTCAGTGGCTTCAGCAGCATTTTTCTTCAGATGAAACGCGAAGTGGATGGAAAATCGAATATGCTCTTTTGTAATTGCCATCGTGAACACTACTGATTTTTGAGGTTATGTGCATCAAACGCCAAACCGTATCGCATTTCAGGAGGTTAAATGTTACTGTTTTAAAACCCCAAAAGGGCGGGAAGATATATAAAATTTAAATTGTTATTTCGGTTGTATCAAATCTAAAGCTCAGAACTTTTTTGTACACCTAATATTTATAAATTAATTTTTAATTGGTCAGTTGTGTGTGCATCAGTAACTTTTGAGCTAACATGTCTCATACTTTGTTATTTTTTATTTTATCGTGCTTTTAAATGTTTGTAGGACTTATATATCTATTAATTCTAAAATCTCATTTCGACAAGAAGTTCTATCTACAATGTTTTCTTGTTCAAAACTCGAAATGAAATCAGATCTCGAGACATCAGCTTGAATCTTAGCGTTGAGAAATAATGTAACAGCTTGGGAAGAGCTAATGAACATTAATGTATTCCCTGTAATAATAACACAATATCGAAATTTTAAATAAGCTAAAATTTGTATATGAATAATGAACAAAGACATGTTTACATAACCTATAATTTAGATTACCAAAAAATATATATTTGCATAACGAACAAATAAAAGCACTTACCAGGTTTTTGTGGAACCATTATATTTCCTGATGAATCTGTGATAACATTTCTGTTCGGTTCAATTATAAACAAGTATTCCATATTTTCTGTATTTACGTAAAATATAATTGCAAAATATAAAAACTCTAAATATATACGCATATATAATGCTCGCAAACGCAAAAACATTCCAGAATCATTTCACGAGCCGTATCACTAATCTCGGTATATGACGTCACACTTCGTCTGAATGAACACTCCGGTATACGGAACGCAACCCAGATGGCGAGGTTGATCATGTGATCTTCGAGCAATTCAAGTGGCAAGAATTAATTTGAACGCTACAAAGCTGTAAACTGTCCTTTAAAGTTAGATTATAAAATGAAATTGTTCATTTTTATGAATAAATAAAATATATCTTATTAATTGAAAATATCTCTTTCGCTTTTCTAGAAACTGATAATAGTCTTATATTGTATATTAAAAATAGATTGTGTGACATGAATATAGCAGATGTTCATATGCAAGGTGTGTTCTTAAAAGAAAACTACATTGCAAAATAAATTTCATTTATAACTGATATTACCTGATTTATATTCGTTAGAGTGTTTAATATATTAATACAGTTTGATTTTATTTCATTCTAAAGGGTGTCTCAAAATGATCTGACATTTTAAATTGCGCGCCATTTTTTTTGCAGCGAACGTAACGTACTAACCTTTAACAACTGGCATCAGAAAGTATTGAGGTTTAGTCATGGAGAATTATACGATCGAGCAACGCATAGAAATTGTGAAAATCCACTACAAATATGGTGAACATTTTGCAGAGACAGTTCGAAAAGTCCGCACGTCTTTTGGTCATCATAATGCATCATCTCGCAATACTGTGGTGAATTTAATAGAAAAATTTGAGGTTAGTGGCTCATTTTTAACCGCGAAAAGCAGTGGCCGTTCTCGTACTGGTCGATCGAATGAAAACATAGCCACAGTGAGTGCGAGTGTTGACGAAAGTCCTTCCACCTCGATTCGCCATCGTGCTCAGCAATTGGACATTTCAAGATCCTCTGTGCAGCGAATTTTGACGAAAGATCTGCATTTACGTGCTTACAAGATCCAATTGACACAAGAACTGCAACCAGCAGACCATGCGCAGCGCCGTACATTCGCCAATTGGATATTGGAGCATCAACAAATCGATGGTGATTTTTCGAAGAAAATCATCTTCAGCGATGAGGCGCATTTTCAACTTAATGGGTACGTGAATAAACAAAACTGTCGAATTTGGGGGACTGAAAATCCACAAGTGATCCAACAGCTTCCCATGCATCCACCACGAGTCACTGTTTGGTGCGGATTTTGGGTTGGAGGAGTGATTGGGCCGTACTTCTTCGAGAATGCTGCGGGAAATGCGGTTACCGTCAATGGTGTTCGTTATCGTGACATGATAACCAACTTCTTATGGGAAGAATTGAACGGCATAGACTTGGAAGACATATTCTTTCAACAAGATGGTGCAACCTGCCACACTGCGGACGAAACAATGCAGTTATTGCAGACGAAGTTTCATGGTCGTGTTATTTCGCGCCGCGGCGATGTGAATTGGCCACCAAGATCGTGCGATTTGACGCCATTGGACTTCTCTCTTTGGGGTTTTCTGAAAGGAAAAGTGTATGCCAATGATCCACAGACCATTCCGGAGTTGAAGGAAGAAATTAGACGTACCATTAATGAAATTAGTCCGCAATTATGCCAAAATTCAAATCATTGAAAATTTTGTCAAAAGAATGAACGTTTGCAAACAGAGTCGAGGTGGCCATTTATCGGATATTATGTTCCACATATAACCTCCATGTTTGTACTTTATATTAAACTAAAAACATGTGTACTTTTCAAATAAATAATATGTTTTATTAATAAATTAAAATGTCAGGTCATTTTGAGACACCCTTTAAATGTACAACATAAGCTTTGATCTAAAAATTAACTAGCAAATTCTTTGTTTTCAAATACGTAACTTCAAATTTATAAAGAGGAAAAGAATTAAAAATTTGCTTTCCTCGTTAAATATTATACATAATAAATAACAATAAATAAAGGGCTTTCTTTAAAAAAGTCACACAATTAAAAGAATAAATTACAAATAAGAAAAGTAAAATTGAACAAATATATAATAAAATAAAAACTCACTTTAAATACAAATAAATTGAAATTACAAGTTTCGGCTACCGGATTGAGCCCTCTTCAGACATTAACTTATCGAAAAAATCGCAGTACAAAATTAATTGTCGCAAATGTTTGCATACTCACTATATTCACAGTTCGGGTGAGTTTTGATGTACAATTTGACATTATTCACGTACGATTGAACAGTCAAATGTATTTCATATCTCTTGAAAAAGTTCTAGTTGATAAAAAAGATAAAAAGACTTAATAATATTCTTGAAGCTTCCACGGGTGCTTTCTGTATAAAAAATATGCGTTTCGCGGGTTTTCTCTGTGTTCAAATCCATTCTTGAAATGCCAATGTTTCGTAAACCTTGCAGTCCACTTCATCAGGGCGAAGAGCAGTCTGATACTGAGCTATTCCTCTGCCATTCCTTTTTGTACGCTACTTGTTGGAGTGATGGGGGGAAAGAAGAGAATTGTGGGTGAGGGGAGGAGAGGGAGGGGGGATTGGTCAGTCTTCAATAACCGGGAGAATGGTTTTCCATATTTTATTTATGTGTTGTAACCATTATCTCTATTTAGATTGTTAGATTGTTTTTGTATCTCTCTGGCTTCTCTATACTTTCTTGGAAAGTATGAAATAATGTTGGCTATTGTGGTCGTTTTATCAAACAGTATTTGATGTCCTGTTTCGATGTTCTGATAATGCTGACTGCGTGACGTGTTTTAGCCTGACATCACATTGGTGTTCTTTTATCCGTAGGTTGACCATCCTCCCGGTTTCTCCAATGTATATTTGCCCGCAGGAAAAAGGTATTTTGTATACTCCTGCGGAGCTGAGTGGAGGTCTTTGATCTTTAGGATCTTCTTAAGATTTGTCCTATCTTTTTGGATGATTTAAAGATAATTCGGATATTGTGTTTGTTTAGTATCCTGCCAATCTGATCTGTTGTTCCTTTGATATATAGGAGAATGGATAGAATCTTATTGTCTAGTTGTGTGTCAGAGACCGTTGTTTTGTTTGCATGTTTATTGATAGTTTTAATTATGTCTTTTTTGTTGTGTCCGTTTTTCTGTAAGGCTAGTTTTAAGTAGTTGAGTTCTGTCTGTAGATGTTCTTTGTCAGAGATGGAGAAAGCTCTATGTACAAGTGAGTTGATTGCAGACTGTTTCTGTAATGGGTGATGGCGACTCGGCATGTAGGTATCTATCTGTGTGTGTTTTCTATCAGCTTCCTTAGAGACAAGAACATCTAGAAAGGGGAGTTTTCCGTTTTCCTCTATGTCTATAGTGAAGTGGATATTTGGGTGTTGATTGTTGAGGAAAATAAAGAATTTACGGAGTTCGACTCTGTCGTGTCTCCATATCACGAATGTGTCGTTTACATAACGGAACCAAACTTCTAGTTTCTTAGGTGTTTTCCTGAGGGCCTCTTTTTCAAAATACTCCATGAAGATGTTGGCAATTACAGAAGAAATAGGAGAGCCCATTACTGCTCCTAAAGTTTGTTCATAAAATTGGTTGTTATAGGAGAAGTAAGTGGTTGTTAAGCAGTGCTCTATTAGTGGGATGAAGTCGGAGGAGACTTTATGTGAAGCCTATTATGTTTAATGTGTTTTGGATTGTGTTTATTGGAACTTGTGTGAAAAGGGATTCTACGTCGAAACTTACAAACAAGTCTGTGGGACGTAGTCGGATTTTTTGCATCTTTTTTATAAAGTCCGTTGAGTTGGTTATGTGTGATTCGGATTTTCCAGGATTTTAAAGGGTTGTAGTGTTTGTGCCAGGAAGCGGGATAAGTTGTATGTCGGGGAGTGTATGGCGCTGACAATCAGTCTGAGGGGGATGTTTGGTTTGTGTACTTTTGATAGTCCGTATAGTCTTCGTGGAAGAGGATTTGTGGGTTTTAATGTTAATTTGGTTTTATTGGGAATGTTGCTTCTCTTCATTAGGATTTTGGTATTTTGTGCGATTGTATTAGTTGAATCTTTGTCAAGCCTTTTGTATGCTTTGTCCGAAAGAAGGTTCTTCATCTTTTTCTTATAATCTGATGATTACTGTCGTGTTGCACACAATATCCGAACACAACATCCGATCTATCTTTAAACCACCTAAAAAGATAGGACAAATCTTAAGAAATCCTAAAGATCAACGACCTCCACTCAGCTCCGCAGGAGCTATACAAAATACTTTGTTCCTATGAGCAAGTATACATTGGAGAAACCGGGAGAATGGTCAACCTACGGATAAAAGAACACCAACGTGATGTCAGACTAACACACGTCACGCAGTCATTATCAGAACACAACATCGAAATGGGACATCAAATACTGTTTGATAAAACGACCACATTATTTTATACTTTCCAAGGAAGCATACAGAAGCCATAGAGATACAGAAACATCCTAACAATCTAAATAGAGATAATGGCTACAACATAAATAAGATGTGGAAGGCCATTCTCCCGGTTATTGAAGACTGACTGATTCCTCATATGCTCTTTACCTCCCCCTCCCCCCTTACCCACAATTCTCTTCTTTCCTTCCACCACTCCAACAAGTAGCGTACAAAAAGAAATGGCCCAGAGGAACAGTTCAGTATCAGGCTGCTCTTCGCCCTGATGAAGTGGACTGCAAGGTTCACGAAACGTTGGCATTTCAAGAATGGATTTGGACACGGAGAAAATCCGCGAAACGCATAACTTTTATATAAAAAGACTTCTTATATAAAAAGACGAAAAAATAAGCGCAACTAAATTAACACACCGGAATTCTAATAAGTAATAAAAACTTACCAAAAATCATATGTAAATTATTCAAACAAATGTGTCCATAAGTATGAATAACCATTAGAATATATAAAGATAAGTGGAACGCAGATGTGTAAGACGGACATTGTGTGTCCATTATTATGTACGCTCGCTGAAACAGATCACCACGGACTGAGAGAAGAGACGGACTGTCAGTATCAAAAAGTCAAATCTTATTTATTAGGAGTATAAATAAGTTTCCGCCGTTTTTTATCAAAAATTGGGCATTTATTGTGAAAGAACGGTACCTAATGTTTTATTCGAAGTATTGTCCATCGCTAGCCACTACTTTTTCCCATCTTTCTGGCAGCATAC